ACAAAATAAGAACATAAATAAGATAAGAGTTAACAAAGCAAAGGAAAGGAAATGAAAGGCATAAATTTGATATTAATGAAAGCAAAGCATAAACATTACAAAAAATACAAAGAGAGAAAGCAAGAGCATGATTTTGATTTGGAAACCAAGATGCCTAAATGCATGGCAAATGCGTTATTATAGATTGTTATCTAATTAATCTTTTTAGAAAGTAAAAAATTCTTGTAAAATAAGGATTTTTAATTTAATTAAATCTTGCCTTGTAAGAATTTATAAATCACATTGAAAACAATTCTTTTTTTGAATATCATTGTTTGATAATACATTTCAAGCCTGACTTCAAATACATAGTTCTCTCTCATCTACATAAGCAACATATGGATGGAAATCTTGAGATGTTTAGTTTCCATCTCAACTAGAATCACAACAAAATTTCATATATAGCTTTAGATATGGCCCAAACAATATACAAAAAGGTTCAATATGATAGATTTCAACTTTTAACCTAAATATCTTGAATCAACCCAATCATTTTCTCTAGGATTTAGTTTTAGGCCTTATAAAAGGACTAGTTGGTACATTTAATTTATCATTTAGTGATATATGTTCATTCTTATCAAATTATAAAAGAGATTCATCACCTTAGGTAAATTAAATAAATATTACGTATATTCTCTAGTAATATTGATTATGAAATCCCTACATAGAGTGAAATGAGTTTTGAAAGAAAAAAAAGGTTTCAAATCTTATTCAAGTAATCAATAACCATGAAATTGGGAACAAACATTATTTGATAGAGTTGATATGAAATTGGGAACAAATATTATTTGATAAAGTTGATATACTCCATGCTCGAATATTTAGATCAAAATATTTTTTTATGAAGGGATAATAGTTATATAAAGAAACTAATCACTAAAATATTAAATCAAACAACATATAATTTTCTAATATTTAGAGGATCATTCGATGTAGCTAGATTCTACACTTGATCTACAAATATAAATAAATCAATTTATTGAATTGATAATATATTAAATTATCTAATTTATTTAACCATGTTTTAATTAGGATTCTTGTTTATATTTTTTTTTTAGATTAACGTGGGTGTCCGGGCCAGCTTGCGCGCACCACGACTAATCCCACGGGCCCTGAAGTTAACGACCATGTAAGCCTCCAGTGGCCATCATATGAGCAACCAAGGACTCGAACCTGAGACCACAGAGGGAGCAAACCCCTTGATCCCAAGTCTTTACCACTTGGCCACCACCTAGATGGTTAAGAGAAGGTTTTTTTGTTCTCCCTTGAGAGGGCAAGAGAAGGGTTTTTTTTTTTTTTTTGCTAGTGTGTGAGTGGATAGAGTGAAGAGCTGTGAGTCAGGTAAAAAAAAAGTTCTCGTGCAATGAGTTCTGGCTGCTAGACAACAAAAAACCAAGCTTCACATAGGAGGAGGCAAGAGATTTTGGTATGATTAGTTTATTTCTTTGCCAATGATTGAGTTGCCTTGCAACAAGTGAGAGACACTTCTAGGGAACCTCTGGAAGTAAGAAAAGGAAGAGAGAGAGAGAGAGAGGTAGAGTGAAAGAAATTGAAGATGAAATCTATGAGTATTAATAACAATGGAAGTAATAATAACTGGTTAGGCTTCTCTCTTTCGCCCCATATGAAAATGGAGGCTGCTTCTGAATCCCAACATCATCATCAGTACCATCATCAAACCCAAACCCAAACTCATGCTCCTGCTCCTGCTGCTGATTCTGTTTCTGCTGCCGTTCCAACAAGTTTCTATCTTTCTACTTCTCTCTTCAACAGTTCTGGAATCTGTTTTGGAGTTGGAGAAAATGGTGGCTTTCACTCTCCTTTGTCTGTTATGCCCCTCAAATCTGACGGCTCTCTTTGTATCATGGAAGCTCTCACTAGATCACAGCCTGAAGGTTTGCTTCCTTATTTCCTGCTTAGTTCCATATGTTTTGTCTTTTTTTTCCCTTTAGTTTGAAAAACTGCTTTAAAGCATATTCTTATGTGTTTCAAGGAATGGTGTCGAGTCTATCACCAAAACTGGAGGACTTCCTAGGTGGTGCAACCATGGAAAGTCATCATTACAGTAGCCATGAAAGGGAAGCCATGGCCTTAAGTCTAGACAGCATATATTACCAGCAAAGCTCAGAGCCAGAAACTAATGGACAACATTCTCTCAACCTTCATGAACCATATAGGCAGCAAGACCAACAGTTTTCAGTTCAAACCCACCCATATTATTCTGGAATAGCATGCCAAGGATTGTATCAGGCCCCACTGGAGGGAGAAACCAAGGGTACTCAGCTTGCAGATTGTAATTCACCTATTCCTCTAATGGGAGACGATGAGCTGCCTCGCTTGAAACACTGGGTTGCTAGACACTATTCCTCGCCAAATGCACTGGAGCAGCAGATTAATAGTGGCATGGTTAATGATAGTGGGGCTTCTTGTTCTGCTAGTGCTGTAGGTTGTGGGGATTTACAGTCTCTCAGCTTGTCTATGAGCCCTGGTTCGCAGTCAAGCTGCATTACAGCTCCAAGGCAGATCTCACCTGCTGGCACTGAGTGTGTGGCCATAGAAACAAAGAAGCGAGGCCCTGTAAAAGGGGGTCAAAAACAGCCTGTTCATAGGAAGTCTATTGACACATTTGGCCAAAGAACATCACAGTATAGAGGCGTTACAAGGTTAGTCGGAACTGCTACTTTTAACACGACTTTTTTGTTTTTGGTTTTTTTTTTTTAATAATGAATTGTTGGAATAGTTTTGCTCTTGCGTATTTTCGTTTGGATGTTTCCATTCACCCGTACATTTCTTGTTCAGTTATCACTGCTACTTTGAATTATTTCTTGTACTATATATTCTATTCTATTTTGGTTTGTGCTTTCCTTAAACTTTTTTCTCCTTTATGTGTCCCTGTAACCATTTTTAAATAACCTCCGCCAGACACAGATGGACTGGTAGATATGAAGCCCATCTCTGGGACAATAGTTGTAAGAAGGAAGGCCAGACCAGGAAAGGAAGGCAAGGTTGGTTAAGCAAAGCTACTACTGTTTTCATTTTCTGTTTGGAGGTGTTGGTTTTTTTTTTTTTGTTTACTGTGATTCTTGGTCCCTTTGTCTTTATGACCTGACTTGTGCAATTTAATTCTTATTTGGCTCCACGTACTTCTTGGAATGATGCAATTCAGTTTATCTGGGTAAGCCTTCTCTTAAACGCTAATGATGATTATGCTAGAAAGCCTTGCTGTTCATTTTTAACATTGTTTCCATTTCATTGATGGCATATAGGGGGTTATGATATGGAAGAGAAAGCTGCAAGGGCTTATGATCTTGCTGCCCTTAAGTACTGGGGACCTTCAACTCATATAAATTTTCCGGTAATATTTAATCCTTTTTGTTTGAGACCTTGTCAATTGGATTGCTTTATAGCCACCAGGATCATGCTTTTACCTTTTCTTTTCCAGTTAGAAAATTACCAGGAAGAACTTGAAGAAATGAAAAACATGGGCCGCCAGGAATATGTTGCACATCTACGGAGGTAAGGCAATGGCTTGCCCTTGAAATGGTTCCTGCGTTCCTATTTACGAGGGTGCTAACATTTCTTCTTTGCTTCACAGAAAAAGTAGTGGGTTTTCTAGGGGGGCCTCAATCTACAGAGGAGTAACAAGGTTTTTATTCTTCTTAACTTGTAACTACCAGCCAATTTTATTGAAAAAAGTTCAATCCAATTGATATTCTAGTTCTTGTCCTGTTCCCAAATTTTCCATCTTATGTAGGCATCACCAGCATGGAAGATGGCAAGCAAGGATAGGCAGGGTTGCAGGAAACAAGGACCTTTATCTTGGGACGTTCAGTAAGTTCTTGCTTAAGTTTAAATGCTTTCTCGCTTTGTGTGCCATTTTCTCTTCATCCACTCATTTCAAGTTCAAATTTTGTTGGGCTCTTTCTGGGCATAAAGAGCTTTTAAGGACTCATTTTATGACATCTTTGCCCCGATGTCCACTAAAGACTAGAGATGCTTTTACAAGGCTGATGGTGTATGCTTTCTTTGAGACTATGTGATACATTACTGATTTCGGTACTACTAGAACTTTTATAAGGCTGTTTTGCCAGTTAAGATGCTAAAGAGGAATAGAAGTATTTCCAGACTACAATGCTTGATTAAAGGCAATTTTTTTTGAAGTGGCTGTAGTGTTTTATAATTTATACTAAGCTGTGGATATTGTAATTTGCTCAAGTGTTTAATGAAAACAAATTTCAGGCACCCAAGAGGAAGCTGCTGAAGCTTATGATATTGCTGCGATCAAATTTCGGGGGGTTAATGCTGTGACAAACTTTAACATAACAAGATATGATGTTGATAGGATCATGGCCAGCAACACGCTTCTAGCTGGAGAACTAGCCAGGCGAACCCGAGACACAGAATCTAGCATTGAGGCCATTGACTATAACACATCAACACAGAACAATTGTGTTTTATACCAATCTCCGCAGGAACAGCCAAATGCTAGTGGAGAATCTCTTGATCAGAAGTCAATGAGTGCTGGGAATTATCGAAGCACCTCTTTCTCAGTGGCAGTGCAAGATCTTATGGGTATGGATCATTCAGTGAACTCTAGCCAGCTAGAGGTAGATGAATCAGCCAAGCTAGGAACTCATCTCTCGAACCCCTCATCTTTGGTGACCAGTTTGAGCAGCAGCTCTAGAGAAGCTAGCCCTGACAAGACTGGAACCCCTGTGCTCTTTGCTAAACCTCCACGGGCATCAAAGTTCATAGGCCCTACAACCAGCGTTACCCCTTGGATCCAAGCAGCAGCAGCCCAATTGAGGCCAGCAGGAATCTCCATGGCTCACTTGCCAGTTTTTGCTGCATGGAATGATACCTAAAGCCTTCCTTTTGCGGTTCCCATGTGGAGTTTTTGCATGAACCAAGGAAAAGGAAGAGTTACTGTTTAAGGAGGGGTGTAGGCAGGAATTTTCAAGATGTTTTTTCTTTTTAGGAGTGTTAGTGGAGGAAACTGGGGATTAATGAAAGACAAGGGTGGGGGCCAGTAATTTGTATGTAACCCTTGTGGAAGAAACTTTGTCAAATTGACCTTTTGGGCTCGATATTGGAATGAACATTTTGCAAAATGGAGAGAAGGGATAGAGAAGTAGTAGTCTCATGATTAAATTCTGTGCTGTGGAAATGATGTCGTCAATGTAGTAGTAAGTGGCTGGCCCTTCATATATTATTGAATCTACTTTTTAGGTTCTGCTAAGTACGAACCCAGCTCGATGTTAATGCTAAAGGGTCTCACTTTGACCACAAAATCTCTTCGACCTTGTTCCTCAATCCGCGCCACACCACCATCACAATTCCAACCTTTCGTACCTGAGCTTTCCTCAAAGGGAACAGACATTCCCGCTTCTCCAATAGGAACAGGTGGAGGGAGAGATTCCGAGGGAGGAAAAGGACTTTAGCTTCTGTTTGTTTTAGGGTTTTATTTGTCATAATTGGTTAGCACTTTGTCAATCTTTTTTTTTTCTTTTTTAAAGTCGCCATGGTTAAAAATATCTTTTGACTTTTCTAATCCCTCTTTGATGTGAACCAAAAGATAAATTGCGCACCTAAAAGCGACTCCATGTCCTTGTGCGGACGCTAGAAAATTACAGCGGCATTGTAGAGGAAGGTCTCTGAGGTATACGTGATATAATTATATTATTTGAAAGTTTTATTTATATTTAATTAAAATTTTAATTATATTTTATATATAAAATATTTTGATATTTTTTGTATTATGATTTGAAGTCATTTTTAGATAAAAAATATAAAAGAAAGTAAATTGAATGTAATTAGTAAATTTGATATTTAATCGATATGTACATAGCGTAAGCTCTAGAGGTAAAAATAAAGTGATTCTAGTGGCATTAGAAACTAATATTCATGTCTTTCTGGACATCTAAGGCAAGAAAATAAAATAAAAAAGAGCATGTAAATCACAGCCTTCAAAATCAAATTTAACAATTTGCTAGTGTTGATTTTTGGCCATTTTGACTTGAATATCTAGAGTTACAGAAGTCTAGTTGATGCAAACTCAATTTTATTGGATTCCTGACTCAAATTCCTATAAACGCTCTACATTTCAGTAAAGAAAAATGTCATACAAGAGAGATATGATTTTTTAAAGTTGATAATTGAATTCTGCCAATAAACAAGTTTCGTGAAGAAATAAGTTCAAATTATGTTTTGAAGCACCTAAACTGATATTCAAGTTTTTATTTCAACAATTTAGCTCCTCTAAGTGAAATCTTGAAGGTTTCATGCAATGCTATTTCTCTCTTTTTGTTTTTTTTAAATAGTTATTGAAGTATTTAAATGTAAACAGTCTACTTAATGGAGGATTATTTTGTAAAATAGAGACTAGAGTTTTCTACGATATAAAAAGAAGGGGAGAAGGGAAGGGGGCAGCCAGCCAAGAGGAGAAAAACACCCCCTCTTTTAAGAAACTCGACATCATGCATTCCTTCTTCTTTTTGATTAGTTGTTCAATAAACATGCAAGGCTAAACTTGTTTTCTTGGTTATAAGGACACATAAACCTTCAGATTTCAAGAACTGTGAAATTTATTTTACTTTTTCTTTTTAGTTTATATGATGAATATGTTTGTTCTCTTATACTTATTTTTCCTATGATTCTTTATTTTAATTGCTAGAACGGATTCTAAGTTATTATTGTAGATAATCTATTGCTAAATTTGATATCAAAATTGGAGTTGTGGTATATGAATTTGTGAAGCAACTGAGTTTAATAATTGTGACAAATCTACGTTATTAATCTTAGAGAGAATATTCAATCAAATCAAACATAGACTACAGACAATTATGTTTTCTTGATTAATTAACTTATCTAGTTTTTAAAGCTGTCATTTAATTAAATTATTAATGCGGACATTGTGATTGTTTGATAATTAAGGTTAGTTATATATATGGCGGATCAGTTAACTGATTAATGTTATAAAGAGATAAATATTCAGAATATAAATTGATGTTTTGTTTTCATGATTAGTTTTGATTTATGTGGGTGAATATGTGTTTGGGATCAAGATTTGTTCTTTTAATAATTTTTTGATTTTATTAAATTTTGTTTGATAGTTTTCTATTTTCTTTTGTTTTACCCTTTTATATTACATATTATTTAGTATAAAAATCTGACTTAAATTTTTTTTATAATATTGATCTTTTGCATACTATCATGTGTATTGTATTTAAAGTTAAGATAATTAATTTGTTTGATAGTTTTCTATTTTCTTTTGTTTTACCCTTTGATATTACATATTATTTAGTATAAAAATCTGACTTAATTTTTTTTTTATAATATTGATCTTTTACATACTATCATGTGTATTGTATTTAAAGTTAAGATAATTAATTTGTTAACAACATGTGAGGCTGCGCCTGATAGCAATATGTGACCAGGAAAGGAGGGATTATAAGTGATATACGGCCACAGCCAGAAATTGACGCCTGAAGAGATGGAGATTATAAGCCATGTTAATCCAAACCAAAAGGCATTATCGTAGAAAACGATAAAGCATTCCGACTTGTAATCACTTTTGCTGATTCTTGCTGGCTTCAATCAAATTTTCACTTTGTTCAGTTTCTTGTCGACGAAGAAAAAGATGACCACGGAACTGCAGTTGTGTATATGTATATATAGCTCCTCCTAGGTGATTCCATAGATTGAAAAAAATGAGCAGGAAACATATATACTCATGGCGTTTATCTTTCCTTCTTCGAGCAAATTGGGCAGGACACATCTGAGATCTAACTGTTTGCTGTCAAATTAAATGCCCTACAAATTAATCTTATCACCGAAAACATGCATTCAATTCATTGCAAGATAAAAAGGCCAAGATTGAGAAGAAAACGAGTTTGATTAGACACTGGAAGAGGCAAGGCATATGCGTATAGAGAAACGAACGTACGAGCTGTAACATGGCAAAGAAAAGACGCATAACTGAGCGCTTGATGGTCAAAAAGGTGGCGATTCATGAAGAAAAAGGTTGCAGATACTTCTCATTTTTAACGAAAAAAGGCAAAAACATTGATCTGAATTTCAAACCCTCTTTGGATTTAGTCAACAACTATGATTTCATGCTTGGTGTTGACGGGTTGGATTGGGCAAGACAAAGTTCGTGCAAGACAGCATCGGAAAAGCAATTTGTTTAATCAATCTTATTTTAAATCATTCAATTACGAAAAAGCAGTGAATGTCAAAAATACGACCATATGGTCTCTCTTTCCACTCTTATTTAAGGATAGAAAATTTCATAATAATATTAAGCCCTGTATATACGTACCTTGAAATATGATTCTACAATGGTGCAAAAATAATAAATTAAGATTAAGTAGCTTGAGATACATATACCATATAACAGTTTCAACTAATAATTTTTTTTGGTTTTTTAGTTTTTTAACATGGTATTATAATTTTATTTATTAAATTATTATGAGTTCTAATCTTATTATTTTTATTTTATTTAATAAAAATTAATTATAAAATAATATAAATTTATATAAATTTCAAACTAAATTTTTTTTTTTTTAAGATGGATTTTGAACCCTCCAGCTCATCGCTTAAATTCAATTACAAAAAATTAAAGAAGCATAGGAGTACGATGAACCGGATGTTCTTCCTTTCATTCAACTCTTATTCAAGGATAGAGAATCTCACCTGAAAATTCAACGCCAAATTAAGCAAGAAAAAAGAAAAGAAATAGCCAATAATAGTGAGTGGTTGTCGTCTGCTATGTATAGTACAGCCACCATAGCTTGAGACTATTGGAGGGGTTCTGGGAAGGAGGTAAATATGTTTGAGCTGTGGTTCAAATATCAAGTGCTCTTCCCATTTGTTGATTAAATTAAACCACTCAATGGATCAAAAACTTTCCAGCCCAAGGGAAGTGCTTCCATGCCGACGCTGCAAGAAAACAAATAAAAACGCAGTGAAGTGAATTATTGAGGCATATGGAGGCCACTACTCCAAAACTGTATTGTGTACATGGAGAAAATGTCAGCACGGCCCTTGATATTTAAATGGTCCCAACGCAAAAGTGTTTTAATTAGGTCCCCCATTGTCATCACGTTATGGCTCACTGGAAGGCAGAGAATTCCAACGCACGCATGCAGGTGTGTGTGTTCTTGTCCAACGTTAATTCATGTATGTTTGAATAAGGGGAGTCTGTTTCTTCTGGGGAAACCTGTAGCTGCTAGCTCTTGGCTTTTGCTCTAACCTTACCTGGCTAATTTCGCCATGGACCACTACTCGATCTCATCATTTAGCTCAGTGATCAGAGCTTGACAAGAGAAACTGACCTGATCAGACCTAACATATATGTACAATCGCAAAAGATGATTAATACATGAAAGGGAAGATCCCTTGAGAAAACAGAAACAGGTCACGTACGGGGTTGTGATGATCCGTGACCACGGCTGTATTTGTTCTGTTTAGCTTTAACTGGTGTAGCTGTGCGCGCACATGCAATTATAGGCGTAAAAAAAAACCAATCAACTAAGAAAATTAAAAAAAAATAAACTAAGATCACAAACCGATTAAATTGATTTTTATATCCATAAATTTTAACAGGTTAAGATTAGTTTTGATTTTATAACTACAACTAATAAACCAAACTAAATTAACTAAACAATTCTAAAAAGCCACTGTCTATACAAAAAAGATATAAATAGTTAATTAACCTAATCCTAACACAACCCCTCCTCTCTCCTTTCCTTACAAAAAGTTGCTATTTATGCAAACTGCAAACCACCTTTCCAACCTTTCCATCTCAAAACTTATTCTTTCTTTTCCTTTAAAATTTTGAACTGCTCTGCATTTTATATATGTGTTTTGTATTATCTTTTTTCTTTACTTCTAGCCGAACACAAACTCACATCTTCATCTCCCTAACTTCTCTTCTCTCTTTACTTTTCTATGCAAGCCATTATGATTATCCTCCATTCTTGCAGATCTACAATAGGTAAGGCTTCTCTTCTATCTTTACTTCTATGTAAGCCATCACGATCCTCCTCTATTTTTATAGATCTACAAATCCAGATCTACAGCAGGCAAGATAGAGTTTAGAGTGGCTTTTTAAATTTTGATTATTCGCTCCTGAATAATATTTTAAACTTTTGTAAGGCTATTTGATTTGAATTTTTTTTTTTGTTTGCATGCTTTCATAGATATTTGGAA